AGGTGGCTCCCTTAACTAAGATATGTGCTTCCCTGCTCCCCTATCCAACCTTCCTTTATCCCAATCTTCCTGTTTCCCCAAGTTCCCCTAATCCTCCCCTTCTCACTTTTCTCTTCCCGTCCCCCCTTATCCCCAACCCAACCCACCCCTAAGATCCCAATTTTCTCCCCGGCAATTTTGTCTACTTCCCTTAGCCAAGAGGCTATATTAATAAAGGTCACGGAGTGTATACCTGGTGAACCTAAAGAAGCTAAATAAGAAGGTGAACCCAAGAAAAAACATACAGTCTGAGGATTTGTAATGACAGGATTTGTAAGAGGTAAAATGTCTCTCTAGTGATGGTCTTCTCTGCTTCTCTGCTCTCTCAGCTTTAATACCCTAATATCTGACTCTGTGCTTTTATTATTAAGAACAATTAGAATTCATTCTACATCTGGCATTCAACTTTTGGGGCATGAATTCATGATAAACGTACTTGCCTGTAGCTTTGCATCCACCAGAATAGGCTAGAGCTATATGTGCCTAAAGTCAAACCCCTCTTGGCTAGGTTTTTCTTACTTCTCGTCTAGCAGGTTTTGGGCTTTCTGTGGACATCTTTTGGGGTTGCTTTCAAACTAGATAGCTACCATAAAACCCATACAGTCATCTACTATTTAACGCAGCAGGAGGCAGAATGGAGAAAACTGGGAATTCTTAAAGTGAAGAATTAGTTTAAAAAGTGAGTTTTTCTGCCTTTAAAAAATGGGAAACACCATTACTATGGAGAGAGTTAAGTCTCTGTAAGATAAGCAATGCATGTTTTAAAATTGAAACAATTAAATTAATTAAATGAAGAGATAATTATTTTACCTAGAATTGACATGTTAATTTTCATCTTGATAATTCTTGGTTTATCATGTCTAAAAATGTTGGTTATTAAGAATGCCCTAGAAATACTGAAACAGGTCATAGAGGTATTCAAATAAAGATAGAGGAATTTAAAGAAGAACCAGTATCAACATTGTGTTATAAGGTTATAGAGGAACAGCCTAAGGTGTCCAAACAACCAACCTTAATATATTCAGTAACCTTTCACCAATTGACAAATGAGAGATATCCATAAGGCTGTTTGGACTTCTATGGCAATGTTATATTTAAGAAAATTAAAGGAAGCAAAAGTCTCATATGGCATGCATTCACCTTTTGTGCAGCAAAGTTAAATTTGTGGTCAATTTTCAAGAGAATTACCATCAAGACTGGAAAGACTTGATTACAGCAGCCTTAAATCCTGGCCCTCAATTACAATAGAAGACCTTGTGGAAAGATAAGGCCAAAATCATTGAACAATGAAGTAGGGCTAGAAGTCTGGAAAGCTCCCAAGATCAACTTATTGGAGAGGAAAATTTTGTTTATATAGAAAGTCAGTCTCTTTATGATGGTCACATTCTGGCTTTATGCCAAGCAGCAGCTTTTAATGTGTGGAACAGAATTGAAGAAGTAGAAAATAAAACTGAGTCACTTACTAAAGTCATACAAGGCTCAAAAGAAACCTTCATTATTTTCTTACTTAGATTGACTTCAGCAGTGAATAGAATGATACCTGTAGCTGTTTGCTTGATTCAGGAAATAAACAGGCCAGATTAAAGATAAACAATTATATTTGTAATTGTTATAAGGGGAAACTCACACCACAAGAATGGGAAGTCCGAATTCTGCCATGTTCCTCGTCAATCACCCAGAGAGAGAGAGCGCTTGGTCCATCCTAGTTTTTCTTCCTGGGCTCCAGGTAGTCACGCCTTAACTAGGAACTTTTTTTAAATTAATTTATTTCTTTATTAATTAATTAAAGATTTCTGTCTCTTCCCCACCGCCGCCTCCCCTTTCCCTTCCCCTCCCCCAATCAAGTCCCCCTCCCTCGTCAGTCCAAAGAGCAATCAGGGTTCCCTGCCCTGTGGGAAGTCCAAGGACCACCCA